ATTTTTTGGCAGCCCCTACACACTGACAAGGTAAGGATACAGATTCTCCCTCCCTAGAGCCTTCGGGAAGAAACGGACCTGCTGACAGCTTGATTTCAGCCTAGTGAGACCCATGTTGGACTTCAAACAAAGAACTGAAAGACAATACATTTTTATCATTTAATCCACTCAGTTTGGGATAATATGTCATGAGACCAGTAAGAATACAGTGTCCAGGTTGGGCACGGTGGCTCATGCCTGTAATCCCAGCACTTTGGGAGGCTGAGGCAGGCAGATTACTTGAGTTCAGGAGACCAGACTGGCCAACACAGTGAAACCCTGTCTCTACAAAAAATACAAAAATCAGCCGGGCGTGGTTACAGGCATCTGTAATCCCAGCTACCTGGGAGGCTGAGGCAGGAGAATCGCTTGAACCTGGGAGGCAGAGGTTGCAGTGAGCTGAGATTGCACCGCTGCACTCCAGCCTGGGCGACAGAGCGAGCAGTGTCCTTAGCAGGTCTGGGAAATAGCAGGGAGGATGATGTGGCTGGAAAAGATGGAGCAAGAGCTAGAATACAGGAGATGTAGTCAGTGAGGCAGAGGAGGATGAACAGCAGACCACGTAGGACTCTATAAGCTCCTTTAAGAGTCTTCAACTTTAAGAAAAATAAGAAGCCATTCAGAGTCTTTATTTTTTTTTTAGATGGAGTGTCGCTCTATTGCCCAGGCTGGAGTGTAGTGGTGTGATCTCGGCTCACTGCAACCTCTGCCTCCTGCCTAAGCTGCCCAAGTAGCTGGGACTACAGGCGCTCGCCCCCACGCTTGGCTAATTTTTGTATTTTGAGATGAGGTTTTGCCATGTTGGCCAGGCTGGTCTCAAACTCCTGACCTCAGGTGATCCTCCGGTCTTGGCCCCCCAAAGTGCTGGGATTACAGGCGTGAGCCACCATGCCCAGCCCTGTACAAGGTCTTAAGCAGAAGAATGGCAATTTGACTTACATTTCCAAAGGATCACTTTAGCTGCGACATGGAGAACAGCCTGTAGGAGAACATACTTTATACTATTAAGGGTGGAAGCAGTGCGCCCAGTACAAAGGCTGCTGCAATCATCCAGGACAGAGGTTTGGCAATTTGGACCAGATGACAGCAACAGCAGGGGACAGAAGTACAACAGATGGACAATCACGTACAAGGACTCTCAGCTACTTGGTTCTTACCTGATTTCCCTTTTCTTTGAGTTGCTGTCTTCATCATACCAAGCTTTTTTTCCTTTTCTAAAGGGAATACATCATGTTTGAAGGGGTGATGCCCTAGAACATGCAAAGTCACATGTTTAAAACAAACACACTAAAGGTACAACTGAACTTACTGGCAATTTGAATTACTACTGTAAACTGATCAATCAATCAAAAGAAGGGTTTTCAAACACTTTTAGAAACACCTAATGAAGTAGTATCAGTATTTCAAGATCCAGAAACATATACACAAATATGTGCTATAAAAACCTATTACTGAAAGGAGTTAGTTCGCTTGCCTTAGGTAGACAGCAAGGGAAGGGTCTTTGGAGAGCTCCTGACCCATGGGTTAGTGCCTTATTTTTATAAAACACAAAAAGCAGCCTGGAAAAAAAATTTAAGCTGCAGGCACCAATAAGAGAACTAGCACAGGGTGTTGTGCCTGGAGACATGCCCACGGCTGCACAGATAGAAAAACCTCCAGCCCATTTGGATAAAAACTTATACAAACCTCCAGCTCACTCAGATAAAGGAGGAAGGCCTGGCATAAGAATGCCTTTGTCCTTTGTAGTCAGCAGGCTCCCAGGAAAGTTTCTTCTCCTTTTGTGGGCATGGGTACAGTGCGCTCTAGTGGGTTCCAGTGGGCACTCTACTTTCTTTTGTTCAAACTATAAGTCCGGCCTCTATAAATCTTCACTTCAACCTGATTGGTTCCAGGCCAAGGTCCCGGGGCCAAGCTAAGTCACACTTTCTCCAAAATAGCCCACAAACAGCACATTCTTTCCCCTTCACAGTCCATAAAAACCCCACACCCCTGCCTCATAGGGGGAACCCTGTTTGGGTCCCCCTCTCTGCTGGCAAAAAGCTTTCTTCTTTTGCTTATTAAACTTTTACTCCAACCTCACCTTTCTGTCTGCACTCATTAATCTTAAAAATAAAACAAAAAACTCTGGGTGTTACCTCAAACAACAGAAAAACTGTTACATCTTGGTGCGTTACTAAACTTACATCTCTAACTAATGTCTTCTTTTTTTTTTGAGACAGTCTCACTCTGTCACCCAGGCTGGAGTGCAGTGGTGTGATCTAGGCTCACTACAACCTCTGCCTCCTGGGTTCAAGCAATTCTCATGCCTCAGCCTCCCAAGTAGGTGGGATAAGAGGCATGCACCACCACACGTGGTTAATTTTTGTATTTTTGTATTTTTTGGTAGAGATGGAGTTTCATCATGTTGGCCAGGCTGGTCTCGAACTCCCAACCTCAGGTGATCCACCTACCTCAGCCCCCCAAAGTGCTGGGATTACAGGCGTGAGGCACTGTGCTTGGCCCCCACCTATTTTCAATAAATCTCCTCCCACAGGTTCTCACACCACTCATGTGATTTACCAGTTTTATTTGCTATGTATTCCACCTCTTTTAATGAACTCTAGTATTTTCTATCTCTTTTATTTCACTAAAACTACTGATAGGAAAGTCAGGTCCACAAATGCAGGCAACTAATTGAAGACCTCCAAAGTGCTGAACCCGTGAAGACACAAAATCACTCCAGGAGACTGACATTGAGTGTCAGAAGGCTCATGTCCTCACCCACTGACAGCAGGTTCCTGAAGTTCTCCAGCATCACATCTCGGTACAGATTTCTCTGGACAGGGTCCAGCAGCCCCAGCTCCTCCTCAGTGAAGACCACTGCCACATCCTTGAAGGTCAGTCCCTCCTATAACATTAAACACACCTCACTTCAGCCTTATAAATAACCTCTTGAAAAGAAACAGCACTGAGAAAGTGGAGAGTATGTGGGGGAAGCTGGTCCTGATTTTCAGAGACTTAATGTGTAGATTTCTCAGCCCTTCTCCTTCCATCTTATCAATGCCACACTTTGATTCTCCTTAGTGTCAGTAAAAGTACATCAGTTATAATAGCCTTCGACATTTCCTTTGTGGCTTCACTGAGTCTATTTGTAAGTAACCATCTAGAACTCTAAACGATGCATCCTGAGCCATACAGGTTTCACCTTTTGGTAAATATTACCAATTGCCCCAGAAACATTTAGCAAGTCAGAACCAACATACATGATAACACCCACCTTCCTCCTCTCTCACATAGGAACCCTGGATGCTATCCCTTTTCATTAAAGTCTGCCAAACTAACAAGCTTTTGGTAACGTATCTGAAACTGCTATGTAGTTTTCCTTCTGCACACCCAGGGCACACAGCACCATCATTACCTGCAGCATTCAGTGTCATGATCTGGAGCCATTATGCCTCAGTGCACACAAGGGTACCCTTCAAAGTTGTGTGACCTTGGATAAGCTCACCTAGTTTCATCTCGGTATGACAGTTCTTATATGTCAGAGTTCTTTCAAACATTGAACAAGAGACTACAAATAGCATTTGAAATAGTGTATGGCACAGACTAAGTGCCTGAGAAACATTAGCTATTATTTATTACTGTTGTCATCATCTATTTCACCTCATTTCATGACTGCATATTGTTCAAGGGAACTGATGATCTGCATCTACCTGTTCTAAATAATGAATATTTAATTTTCAATATTGTTCTCATTATAACCAATCCAGCAAAGAACATCATTTCATGTAGGTCTTTCTTTTTCTTTTTCTTTTTTTTTTTTTTGAGACAGAGTTTTGCCACCATGTTAGAACAGTGCCACCACGTTAGGAAGACAAGAGGTCCCCCACTACCTGTGGATGTCATCACCCAACAGGGCGCTCCAGACATCCACACCATGGGTCATTCAATTGAGAAATATTTGTTTCTTTTTGTCTCTCACTTTCACTTGAATGGAATGGCTAATGTTTCTGACCCCTGACTTCCTATGCCAATCTGAGCAGGTTTCTCATATTTCACCTGTTTAAGAGGAAGAAGAGACCAGGAACCTCCTCATTCTGCCGCTCTGAGTAAATGCAGTAACAGAACACAAGTGACTGGCAAATCTTCAGTATCACTGGACATTTTAAATGAAGGTTATTACCTACTACTTTGGTCAAAATGGTTACTTTATAAAGGCAATAAGACACTAGTAAATAAAATACATACAAAGTATGATTGAGGCACAGAGAACACAGAATCTAGCTCTTCCTATATGAAAACTCCAACAATATTATTTGTGTGAAGTACCATTATAGCCTGTTGTGCTGTGCCATGTTAGAATATTCTATCTACAGCCAGGCACGGTGGTTCATGCCTGTAATCCCGGCACTTTGGGAGGCCAAGGCGGGCGGATCACCTGAGGTTGGGAGTCCGAGACTAGCCTCACTAACATGGAGGAACTCCGTCTCTACTAAAAATACAAAATTAGCTGGGCATGGTGGCACACGCCTGTAATCCCAGCTACTCGGGAGGCTGAGGCAGGAGAATCGCTTGAACCCAGGAGGTGGAGGTTGCAGTGACAAAAAAATCAGCAGAAAGTTTTCAGAATTGATTTTTGAGGAAATGGTCATGTAGGAAAATTGTCATTGCAGTGTTATTTAAAACAATAAAATTCTTAAATCACCTAAATGTCCATGAGTGGAAAGTAGTCAAAAATAAAAAGACACATTAATTAAATGGGAATATGGCATAACCTCAAAAAATGAACATTATTTAGTACTTAAGGAAAAAATAACAATAAAAAATGAGATATATATCATGAATACCAATATAGTTATGAATGCACATTAGGAAAAGACTCTAAGAAAATAAAAACCGCTAATATGTAAGCAGAGAAGTAAAGCAAGAGAACTGTTCATTCCCACTAATTTTTCTACTCCATAAAATAAATACAGTTGTCCCTCAATATGCTTGGGGAATTGGTTCAAGGACCCCTGAGGATACCATAATTTGTGGATGCTCAAGTCCCTTACCTAAAATAGTGTTTGTACTACAGTCAGCCCTCCACATCCACTCTGTGGGTTCCACATCTGCAGACTCAATCAACCACAAAAGGAAAATACGTATGGTCAGCCTTACGTGTACTCAGGTTTCAATCTGTGGTTGGTTGAATTCACAGATGCAAAATTCAAAGATGCAAAACCCCAGATGTGAAACCCACAGATACAGAAGGTCGACTGAAATAATAAAATAAACAACATCTAAAAACAAAGTCAACTCAAAAGGCAGAAGGACGCACTTAGCATAAACAGGTCCTCAAATGCCTGTTGTTCTTGAGTCTTCCTCAGGTGACATGACAATGTGAATAGTGAGATGGAATTTTAACAGCAAGAGAGACAAGCCTTATTCACCTTGAATGTGGTCATTTTTCCTCCTGTTTCTGGAAATTTGCAGAGTCCTGAGTTATGCCATTTGAGAGAAGGCAGAATCGTGCCTGGAACACTGTGGAAGATATGAAAAGAGACATGAAAGTGTGGCCAGGGATGTCCCCACCAACACAGAAGTATATTGTGAATTAGCACATGAATGTTCACAGCAGCATTATTCATAATAATCCCAAACTGCACACAACCAAAATGCCCTCCTATGGAAAAATGGATAGACAAATCCTGGCATATCCATACAACGGAATCTTACTTGGAAATTAAGAGGAATGAAGTACTGACTCACACTACAACATGCATGAACCTTGGAAACACTATGCTGAGTGAAAGAAGCCAGGCACACAAAACCACAGATTGTATGATTTCATGTATATGAAACGTCCAGAACAGACAAATGTATATAAAAAGAAAGTAGGTTACTTGTTGATGGGGATTTGGGGTAAGAAGGGGGATTAAATGTAAATGGGCAAGAGGAGTCCAATTGGGGGATGAAAATGATCTAAACTAAATTATGATGACAATTACTACATTCAGCAAAGTTCCTGAAGATTACTGAATTGTACACCTGAAATGGGTGAATTCTGACATGTAAAATACACCTCAATAAAGTTGGAAAAAAATTACTAATCTACATGTCATTTAACAAGACTGAGTTCTGAGTCCATATTGATAGAATATTTACTTCTGAATGAATGAATAAACAAACAGGGGAACAGGGGATGCTGGTCTTTACAGTATGATGCCTGCTAACAAGTATATCTACCCATAAAAATTAATTT